CTTCTCAAAAAAAAAAGGGGGCCTATTACGAAAATCTAACATATTAAATCAAAAATTAAGTGGGGGCAGGGGATCTCTTAAGAGTGAGGAGTGATACCTAGATACATCAAAACAATGTACTAATGTCCTAGAGAAGGGCAAGAGTTTTCAAAAACTCCTCTGCTTCTACTTAATAGGAAGCAATATATAGAACTGCAACAATTTACTTATTTCACATCGTTTTAAAAATACGCTTTCTCTCCCAGAAAACATTCTAAACTGGTTGAGCTACTGTATCTTCCCAAAATTACATGAATAAAATAGAAATGAGGCTATAAAATGCACATGAAAAGAATATTTGATTCATACAACTAAATTATTTTTGCACCATATTCTATTTTTCTCTCTTTCTAGCAAAGCAAAACTTCCCATGCCAAGTTCTTCAATAACACTTAAGATTGTTCTCCAATGACAAGAACAAATGAGTGCTGTTAATGATTTTCAGATTTAAAGCAATAATTCTCATATTAAACATTTTTTTCCTTGAGATTTGCCAAACTATTCCTCTCCAGAAAAATTGTCTCCTTATTCTAAGAATTTTTCACTACATTGTCCAGGCTGACTAATTTTTACCTTGAATGCAAACCAACAGAAGAGACAACTTTTCAAGGGATAATGAGTTGAAAGCCAAGAAAACCTTTTCTCCTTCTTATAATTTAATCCATATTGAATTACAGATAAATCTGGCAGTATCAAAATCAGAGTTCTGTCAGCACATAAACCCCCACCTCCTTTTTTAAGCTTCACAAAGAATGGTTGGTTTGACCATACTTTTTAGGGGCAAAAACACCATGAGTCTGGATCACTTCTCTCATGTTAACAGACATGATTAGCCTTTACCTCTTCTCTATGCACTATAGATTATTTTGGTTGATATATTCTTTCCCTAAGAACCCTTGAGGACATAATGAATAAAGGGCAGCATTATGCAAATTCTGTATACTTGAAGAGGGATAGTTAAATAGAAGCTACCAATTTGCATAATGAGTATCATCTTTCAAATGTCTTCAGGGCAAGTTCTGTCCTATAGAATGTACAGCTTCTCATAAATGTTGACACTGTCAGCAACTGCATTAGGCCTAGTTTCCTCGGATGGGAAAGGATTCTGAAACCAAAACAAGTTAAATTTAAAAACCACGATCCTAATTCATTTTAAATTAGAACAAAATATGAAAAAAGTAAATATTAACAGGATATAAACTATTGTTAAATCTTCACTCTTCAAAACACTTCAGTATTGAAGATCAAGAATGAAAAAATGAACCAGCTGTCTATGATGTAAACAAATCAAATAGTCAAAAGTTGTATAAGTTGAAAATACTTCACATTTTCTTAGGAAAAGCATGCATGTTTTGATAGATGGAATACATTTAATCTCAAGGTTTGCTATAAAACAAAACAAAACTGTCACTACATTAAAAGGACTGTTTTCATGCTGGAAACTAACTAAACTAAATCACAGTAACTTATATGACAAATGTTTCATTTTCCTTTCCCCAGTTTACCAAATGTTCCACAATTACCTCACAATCTTAGATGATTCTTCACAAACTAGTATAAGGATACATAATTATATGAAGACTTCCAATATAAAAATTATGTAGATATCAAAGTGTATGTTCTCTATTTTAGCTTAAGTACTTTGCCATTTTTCCCCTTTTGGTTTCTAATTCTTGGATAACCCTCAGAAACATGCATGTCATTTCACCAGAGAATATGAGAAGTAGAGGAGGAGGAAGAGAAATCCAATAAAAACCCCAGGTTTCTAGTGTGGTGGAGTAGTGCAGATAAAATGTTACACTGAGGTCACTGTTAGACTAAGTTAGGAGACAAGACGGGGACCAGTTTTGGAGAAAAGGGGAAAGATTATGAATTTACTTGTGGACATGCTGAATTAGGGTTACCTATAGATGTCTCATTCAATCAGTATATGAGTACCTAAAACGTTACTAGGCCCCAAGAATTACACAGACTGTTGGGTGTACAGGTCTAGTCTAGATCTGGGAGCAATCAGGCAATATACAGAAAAAATCTGAATGAGACTACTCCAAATGAGTGTATAGAGTAAGAAAAGAAGTGCACTGAGACCTCTAGAAGAATTGGTTTAAGAGAAAGGCAAAGAAAGAGGAGCCAATAAAACAAAAGCCAGAAAGTAGGAGGTAAACCAAGAGAGACTGGTGCTATTAGTAGAGAATTTCAAGAAGCAGAAATAACTAGTATCAACCTCACAAAATTAAGATGAGGCTCGAGAAATATCTATTAAATGTTTCAACTAGGAAGTCAGTGGTGACCTTATCGGGAAAATTTCTGAGTGAAGAGGGAGATAACAGCATGCTGTGCAAAACAGCAAGAAAAAGGAGAAAGGAGGAATAGGGTACTCTTTATTAGCTTAGGTATAAAGTAAAGGAGAATTACATGGTAACAGTGAGAAGGAAGATTCTGGGTCATGAGAACACATAAAATGAAAGGGAATAGAAAAGAGGAGTCAATGGAGACAAAATTGAAGATACAGGAAAGATAACTGTCCTAACATTTTCTCCAAATTAATTTCTCCACCTCAGTATTTGCCTCATTTGCTTTAACCCACAGGAATAATTACTGTGTTTGTTTCAGGTATCAGGGCTGGGAGAAAACAGGTGTATTCTCTAGTAGAAAACCTTTCCAGATTCCATGAAACTCCAACTATGCTAGTGGTTTCCTCCCTTTCTCTCTACGTGCAGGAGAATGTGCATCTGTGCACACACAGACAACTTCAAATCCTGTACTCCCCTGAGGGAAAATATAAAACAAAGACCTCTGAACTAAACATCACAGAACAAGGATTTATATTATTTTGTCATTTTCCCATTTTCAAAAGAAAATAACCTTAATTTCTTTTTTCAAAAAGATACAAATTATGGAATTTGAGAAAAACATTTCAATGAGAAAAAAATACAGTCATAGAATCAGTAAATTTTAGAATGAGAGTTTAGCAGGTGTAATTGGAAAGATGCTAGATCAAGACTTCAGACTGTGGATCTGTCAGTAACTAGGTCTTAGGACTGTGAGCCAGGTCTTCCACCTTTCTGGACCTTGGTTTTCTCAAATGTAAAATAAGTGAATTAGAAGAGATCACTGTGGTCCCATCCAGCCTTCAGAAGAACATGACTGTGGTCCTATGTGTGCTGTTTCTAGGTAAAAAGAACAAGGCTCAAAGAAGACAACTCAATGACTTGAAAAGTTAGTATGGTAGAACCATTCTGGAATTGAGGGTTGCCGATTCTCAGTCTGATGTTCTTTTTGCTATAAAAAGTTTATGTTCTTATGCAGTATGAAGATATTGATGATTTTTGTGCATGTGTGTGAGGAAGACCAGCCCTGAGCTAACATCCAATGCCAATCCTCCTCTTTTTTGCTGAGGAAGACTGGCCCTGGGCTAACATCCATGCCCATCTTCCTCTAATTTATATGGGAAGCCGCCACAGCATGGCTTAGCAAGCGGTGCGTTGGTGCCTGCCCAGGATCCGAAGCGGCCAACTTGGGGCCGCCGCAGCGGAGCACGTGCACTCAACCGCTTGTGCCACCGGGCTGGCCCCCCTTGATGATTTTTTGAAAATCCTCTATTCCTCTTCTCCTCCAAATTACATTTTCAAGAAGGAACATAGCTCAGGCTGTGGTAAAAAGTGGAGTACATGCAGAATGTCTCTCCTAACATCCAGCTTAGAGCCTCTCTGATGGAGTCATGCTCAGTATGGCCCTGAAGTGTTTATCAAAGAAAGAGGACACAATATTTTGGTATGTAGCAGCTATTATCTACACTGTGCTTAGGGATATTCTGCCTTCAACACAAGGTGCCTAACACTCCCTATTCCCACTGGAATCCTAGGATGTCCCACAATGTTCTAACGAGTTCAACTGTTCTCTGACAAACTAAGGCTGATGCTTCATAGCAGCTGAATGACAGTCTATCAACTGCCTCTGCCCCTACTTTGTCTTCTAGTCATTAGTATTGTAAAAACTTCAAAGATGACACTGCAGCATCTTCTAAACAAATAACAGGTTTTTAAAGTACTTTCAAAAATAGCTATCGTGAAATCCAGTAAGACTAATTATATAAAAGACAGAGTAGAGATAAGGGAGAAAAAGGGATATTAGAAAGAAACAAATGTTTACCATTTGATTACTCTCTACACAGGATTAAACCAATATATCTTAATATATGCTAGGTATGCATCATATAGAGTATTTTCTGCATGTAAATTCACATACACATTTTAAAAGGGACAGTTTCAGACTTCTTCTCATTCAAACACCTAACAAAGCATTATTCATATTTTGTTGAAAATAATCTTATAATGTTATTGGTTAAATATTTCTTGGAATTTATAAACACTGTAAAATATACAATAAAAAGACAAATTCTCAGTCAATTGATATATAAAATACAGATTTGTCTCAGCACTAACATAAATTTCCACAGCTAAACAACTCATTTCATCTAAGAAAACAGTAACACCAACATTCATTAAGACTACTCTTCATAATTCACCCTAAAATATCTGCCAACTATATAAAATAAGAACTCATGATGTTGAAAATAAATTCAATACATCTTCTGATCAATTTCTTTAATGTTAAATATTTTTACAGCATTAAACTTCATTGCAAACTATTGTTTCATTTTTTTAAAAGCATTGTTTCATTACTAAAATAGCTAAAACATTATCTTACCATATGGTCCAATCTCTAAGAAAAAATGATAGTCTATGAAAAACTGTAAGGACAAAAGGCTAATTCAATATGAAAATACATGCCAGGTAATAAGGTAACATATTCCTTTAGTCAATTTTTTCAACTTAACAATCTTGCAGTAATTTCTTTAAAGGATACATATACTTTTAGAATATCTTGAATTTTATATAAATTACTGATTAAGGCAGAGCAACAACTAGGCATAATAAACACATGGTGACATAACTCACCTAAATAGGGAATGCACGGTGTCATCTTTAAGCTACTTATATAGTCTCTGAGTCTTTTGTAGTTATCTTCTTTACTCATTACATATTCTAATTTTTCAAAGGTAGTTTTGTCTTTTCGACTTAATAACTAAAAAACAAACAGAAAAGCCTAAGTTATTTCCAAATCCCATTTTATTATAGCAAAGACTTGAAGTTGTATTTACTGTAAATTTGAATATTATTTCAAAGTTATACCTTCTTTAATTATATTTTGGTAGTACATAAATAAAACAAAATCAGACATGTCTATTAAGATAATAAACCCAAATCCATTATTTATAAAATATAATATCCTTTGTATGTACATAAAATCAATTGTATATCACAATACATTTCTCATCTTCACTACTTTAAAGATTTTATTTATTTTATTTTTTCCCCCCAAAGCCCCAGTAGATAGTTGTATGTCATAGCTGCACATCCTTCTAGTTGTTGTATGTGGGACTCGGCCTCAGGATGGACGGAGAAGTGGTGCCTCGATGCGCACCCGGGATCCGAACCCAGGCCACCAGCATTGCAGCGCGCGCACTTAACCACCAAGCCACAGGGCCGGCCCTCATCTTCACTACTTTAAATGGTTAAGCAATTTTTGATCATTTTCCTAATTTAAAATAATTATGTATTCCTATTCAGCTCAAATGCCCAAATGTTTTAATACACTGTCCCCTGCCTCCTCAAAGATAAAGATGATTCTTACATAATCATTAAGAAGTAAATACTGAATTTCTTGATTTAAGTAACAATTTTTCTTGACAAATCTAACCATGGCTAGTTCTAACAATAACCATAAAACTGTGATTTACATTTTTGGATTTTTGACAAGACATTTCTTCTTTGATCCCTTTGAGCAGTGCTATATTGCATATGGTTGAACAATCAAGTGAAATTGTTCTAAGAGGCTTGAGGGATAGATTTGTAGCAAGCGCCCTTGGACAAAAATGGAGAAAACCAAGGGGTATGAAAGAAAAACAAGGTCAGTCACCCAAATAACATTAAATAAAAGGTTCAGAAAATATTTTCTTAAGCATACCAAAGACACTGGAAAAAAACATTTTTTCTTTAAACGTATGAAGTTACTATTACGATGTAATAAAATTTCACCTTATTTATTTCTATCATAAAATATTAGTGTCATTTTATAGCATGCAAAACACTTCCAACTACAAAATTCTCATCTAATTCTCCTGTGAGGTTAACAGAAATGTCTGAGGATTTATTTAGAGATGAGGAGACTGAGATTCAAAGGTGATCACATGGTTAGCTCAAGAGGCAGAAAATTCTAACACTCAGACATCCACTCACAAAGACGTAGGTTCCTGTTTTTCACGGTCTCAGTCTGGTCCTGGAGATGAAGAGTACTGTGACACCTAGTCCACTATGCTTTCTAGTATCACAAGTAGTACAGTTGGGACTGAAGTTGAAATCCATTTTTCACAGGCTCCAAGATGCAGATTATCTTCAGATAATCTCTATCAGAAAAATGTCTGACCAGTATCCCTCCCTCTTTAAAGCACAAGATTTCAAGGAGTCCTTTGTTTTAACGATTTAGGTAGATATTTCACGGTCTAAAACAGTGGTTTCACAATCTTCTCCCTGGCCCAGCTTCAACACCCCTGGTTAGCATTGTCAAGATTAGGTGTAAATCTCTGCGGCTACCTATAAATCCAATGCTCCCTTTCTCTCCCACCTGACAAAGCATTTAGATATGTAAAATACAGCAATGTGACACAGCACAGATAACAATAAGTCTATTCTTTTTGTCCCTAAGTCAATCATTCAAAAACTTTGATACAGGATCAGGAGAAACAAACTACTTGGAACTCATAACTGATTTTGCCACATCTGAAACACAAACTGAGGTTAAGAACTACATGATCTAATATGTATAAAAATAACTTATATTTTGGAATTTTCATAATAAATCAATAACCAGATTAAAAGGATTCAATCTGAGGTGAGGCAGCAGAGACTTCTTTCCAGAAGACTATTTAGAGGAAGAATATGGCTAAAAGAATTAATGAGATGTTAAAATACGTATTTCCTAGTGACAGCTCAGAAACTCACCCAAAGCCCACGGGCCAAAGCTATAACTAAGAAGCCTCGATTTTCTTTTCCCCCTTTTCAAATCTTTTTCTAATGTTCCTAATGTTATCCTTACAATGTCACTTCACTATACTCCTCCCTCAAAAAAGGAGGAAAACAAAATACTTCACAGGGCTCTAACTCCACATGTTTTGGGTGCCACGCTCTTCCTCTGGCCAGGAGTATAACAACTGGGGGCAGAGCTCTTCAAGCTTTCATCGGTCCCTGAATGTGGAAACTCCAATGGTTCCTGGCTGGATGTCTACACCACTTTACCATAACATGTGCTTTGGGAAAATCTAGATGAATCCCTGTTCATGTCAGTCACCAAAAGAAATACAAGATTCCCAGATCACCCCTCATCACCTTGATTTCTAACCCCATACAATTTGTAAAAAATGTATTTGCATAAATAATTTATTTATTTATCTTGGACCTCACGTGAAGATTAATTATAATCCTTTGTTCTTGACACTCAATTATCATTAGTCCCTGATATGACTTTCTTGTTAAATTGATTTATTTTTAAATTTTATAACAAATACACATGCATCCACCTTCCTACCAAAGAACTACATACCAACAACACACATCTACCTATGTGCTCCTTCCATATCCAATTCCCTTGACTATCTGTAAGAGGTAACCAGTAACCACCATCCTAAATTTTTGGTTTATCATTGTCTTCAATTTTATTCCACTTTTGACTAAAAAATGCCATACCGTTTATAGTCTTTGGCACTTGCTTTACTCACGCAACACTTTGACATTGAAGTTTCATCCACAATGTCGTGTGTGGCTGTAGTTTGCTCATTTTCACTGCTTCCATGTGTATTTTCTCTTCTGTGAGTACCATAGTGATGCCCACTTTTCTATTTTTCCTTTTTGCTTTGTAAGAGTTCTTTATATATTCTGGATACAAATTTGTGATCAGTTACAACTGGTGCACACATCTCCCCCAACTCTGGGGCTTCTTTTCAATTTTCTTTAAGATAACTTTTTTTCTTTCTTTTTTTTTTTTTTCTGCTGAGGAAGATTCACCCTGAGCTAATATCTGTTGCCAATCTTCCTCTTTTTGTATGTGAGCCACTGCCATGGCATGGCCACTGACAGACAAATGGTGTAGGTCCATGTCCGGGAACCGAACCCAGGCCGCCGAAGCAGAGTGTGCCGAACATAACCACTGGGTCACCAGGGCTGGCCCAAAGACATCTTTTGATGAACAGAAATTCTTTCTTTAATGTGGCAAAACTTGTCTATCTTTTCTTTGATGGTTTGAGTTTTTTGTATCTTATCTAAAATATCCTTACCCCTCCCTGGCCAGAAATCTATTCATGCCAAGCCACAGAGATATTCAGCTATTTTTCTCTTCTAAAAGCTTTAAAGTTTTGCATTTCATATTTAAGTCCTTAATCCATCTCACAATGACTTTTGTGAATGTTGTAAGAGGCCCAATTTCATTTTGTCCCCAAACTGATTACCAATTTTCCAGTTCCAACCAAGAGACAGTCCCTCATTTCTCCAGGTTTACAGTGCCACTACTGCCATACATCAGAGTTCTATAAAAGCAAGGATCTATTTTTGGGTTCTTTATTCTGTTCTGTTGGTTGATACAGCTAAACGTGCACTAACCGTACATTGTCTAAATAATACAATATGTCTTGATATCTGTTAGGCAAGTACCCAAGCCCCCAAACCCATTTTCCTCTTCAAGAATATCTTGGCTATTCCTGAACCTTTGCATTTCCATGTAAATTTTATAAGCAATCTTGTCCAAATCCCCAGATTGGGATTCTGATTCAAGTTGCATATAAACTCTATATACATTTGGGGAGCACTGGCATCTTTAAATTTTCCTATCCATGAACAAGGGATGACTGCTCCATCTATTTAGTTCTTCTTTAATGACTTCCTATAACGTTTTATAATCTTTTGCATATAGTTCTTGCACATTTTATTCCATTTATTGTTTGCTATTTTCTTTTATTGATATTGTAAACAGCATCCTTTTAAGTTCAAATACAACTGATTTTGTATATTCAGTCATCTTAAATCCTATTGTTTTTTAAAATTGTGGTAAAATATATATAATATTTACCATTTCAACCATTTTTTAAAAAATTTTTATTGATTTATTTTTCCCCCAAAGCCCCAGTAGATAGTTGTATGTCATAGCTGCACATCCTTCTAGTTGCTGTATGTGGGACGCGGCCTCAGCATGGCCAGAGAAGTGGTGCGTCGGTGCGCGCCCAGGATCCGAACCCGGGCCGCGAGTAGCGGAGCGCGCGCACTTAACCGCTAAGCCACGGGGCCGGCCCTTTTTTTTTTTGTTTAATTTTTATTTATTTTTTTTTTAAAGATTTTATTTATTTATTTTATTTCCCCCCAAAGCCCCAGTACATAGTTGTATGTCATAGCTGCACATCCTTCTAGTTGCTGTATGTGGGACGCGGCCTCAGCATGGCCAGAGAAGTGGTGCGTCGGTGCGCGCCCAGGATCCGAACCCGGGCCACCAGCAGCGGAGCGCCCGCACTCAACCATTTTTAAGTATACAATTCAGTGGCATTAAGTACATTCACATTATTGGCCAACCATCACCACCATCCATGGCCAGAACTCTTTTCATCTTCACAAACTGAAACTCCATACCCAACAAACAATAACTTCTCATTCGTCCTTCCTCCCAGCCCCTGGCAACCACCTTCAACTCTCTGTCTCTAGAAATGTGACTACTCTCAATATAAATGGAATCATATGGTGTTTTTGTCCTTTTGTGTCTGGCTTATCTCACTTAGCATAATGTCTTCAAGATTCACCCATGTGTCAGAATTTCATTCCTTTTTAAGGCTGAATAATATTCCATTGTACATTCATACCACATTTTGTACATCCATTCATCTGTTGATGGACCTTTGGGTTATTTACATTTTTTGGCTATTGTGAATCATGCTGTATGAATACTGGCATAAAAATATCTGTTTGAGTCCCTGCTTTCAATTCTTCTGGGTATATACCCAGAGGTAAAATTGCTAGATCAAATGGTAATTCTTTATTTAATTTTTTGAGGATAAATCCTATTATTTTTAATCATTTTTTTTCTGACTGTGCTGGCTAGGATTTCTATGTTGAATAGAAACAGTGAAAATGTGCACCCTTTTCTTTGACATTGAAGAGAATGTTCCTACTATTTTCCCCATTTAGGATGTTATAGATTGGGTACATTCCCTTTATTGGTTAAAAAAACAAAACACTCTCAATTCCTCATTCATTAAAAATCTTTAACCCAAATGCCCATGAAACCCATACGATCTTTATTATCTTTGAATTTGATCCAACACCCTACACCTCCCAATCCTTTCCAACTGTATTCTCTGGGACTCATGGTCCATCCTCTGCAAAAGCCCCATCCTTAACCTTTTCTTTAAGCATTCTCTTTCTTTTCCTACAAACCACATAGCATGAGCCTGGAGTTGAATTAGGTGTAATCCTCACTTCCTACACTTTACAATTCCTTCCAGCTTACTATCTCACTATCCTTTTAAAATTCTCCGGCTTCTATTAATTTCAAGCACTAGATCAGTGCCATCTAATCAAATTTTGTGTGATGATGGAAATATTCTATGTCTGTGCTGTCCAATATGATAGACACTAGCCACAAGTGACTACTGAGTGCTTGTTATGTGGCTAGTACGACTGAGGAACTGAATTTTAAGTTTTATTTAATTTTAATGCTTTAAATTTAATAGCCACATGTGGCTAGTGTCTAACATACTGGCCCCAGAGAGCACTAGATTATAACAGTTATGTTACTGTCATTAATAGAGCCACAAGTCATTTTTCCCATATCTTGCAAGATTTTAGTAGTTGGAAAATAAGAGTCCATGAACCAACATTATTCTTATATCCTGGTGATTGCAATCTTCACATAGAAGCCCAACCCAGATTTCTCAGTTTCTTGACTTCTCCTTCTTAAATGGTCTTATTTTCACCACTCTCAGCCTCCATTCCCTTGGTCATCCTGAATCCACTAAGTATTTGAGTGCACCAGGATTTCCAATCCAGTTACCATGACTACCTTTTCACTGTTCATTCTCTCTCTCCTTTTACTTGTGTTAGATTCCTCATCTATCACTAAAACAACTTTTACATTTACCCATTTTATCTCTTTTTCTATCCTTGACCCCTCTGTGATATAAACAAGCCTAAAAAAATTCCAACTCTGGTTAAATACAATTCTCAGCACAACTCCAGACTAATGCTGAGCACTTGAACCTAGCTGGAGAATACGTAACTTTGCTGACTAGTTTCACTTTCAATTCATGACCAAAAATCTCAAGTGGATCCTTCATAAGGCATACCAAACCTACATTTCCCTAGTTAATTCACTCTACACTCTCCTAGATGACTTTTATCCTTTCCTCTTTCTTCAAACCTCCAACACCTCTCCCCCATCACCCTCAATTAATGACCTTGCTTCTTATGTCTTAAGAAACAAAGTATCAGAAGGACTTCTATAGAATCCCACCACCAAATCTACCAACTTACTTGCATCTCTAACCAAGTGCACCCCCTTCTGTCCTGTTAAAATGGATAAACTGTCCCTGCTCCCCTAGAATACTGGATCTAATTCCCTCTTGCCTCTTCCAGGGTATCACTGGAGTAACCCCTCGTTCTCTTACCATTTTTCCCATTCTATTAGATCATCGCCACCAGCAAACAAACATACTGTCAAGGATCTCATCTCTAAAACAAAACAAAATGCCACAAATCTTTGGTCTCACACTCCCCTCCAGCTACTGCCCAATTTCTCTGCAGCACCTCACCTCAGCCCTTTACAGCAAAACTCCTCAAATGTATTCTCTATACTGGCTGTTCCATTTTTTCTCCACCATCCTCTCAAATCCAATCAGTCTTTCACCCCACCACTGTACTGAAACCACCATTGCCAAGGTCACCAATCCTTTCCAATGGCCAAATCCAATAGTCATCTCCAAGTTCTCAACTTATTAGCAGCATTTGACACGGGTGATTCACTCTTTCTTGAAACACTTTCTTTACCTGGGAAACTTCTCCTATCTATGATATTTTCTTTGTTGGCTCCTCCTCAAGTTTCCGGTCTCTACATCTTGGAGGGTTCCAGGGCTTTTCATCTGTGCTCATGCCTTAGTTGATCCCATCCAACCTCATGATTTAAATACAATCTTGATGATGATGATGATCACACACCTTTATGTCTAGCCCCAACTGCTCTATTCAACTTGTAGACCCAACTCTGACCTTCCAGTTCCACATGGACATCTACCAGCCAACTCAAACTTAAGATGTGTAAAATAGAGTCTCACTCTCCACTCTTTCTCTGTATCTCCTAAATATCAATAAATAGCATCTCCATTTTCTGATTTGATGCCACCTCTCTGGACTCATCTCCTACCATCAACTAGTCCCTAGCTATTCCACTCTGTCAACACTGACTACCCTGCTATTCACTGAACATTATCAGGGCCTTTGCACTGGCTATTACTTCTGCTTGGAATTCTCTCCTCCCAGATTCCACATGAATGGTTCTCTCAACACCTCCCAGGTCTCTACCCAACTGTCACTCACCAGAGACTCTCTTACGATATATATATAAATATACACACACACACACATTATATAACATATATTATTATATAACATATATAATATATATTATATAACATCATATATTATTATATAACATATATAACATATATTGTTGTGTAATATATATTAATAAAATTATATATATAAAATACTTCCCTGCTTTCCTTTCTATCCTATTTATTCTGCTTTATTTTTCTTCAGAGCATTCATCACTATTTATGATATATCATTTATTTCTTTACAGTTTTATCTTTTGCCAGTAGAATGTTAGCTGTATAGGAATTAGACTTTGTTTACATCATTCACTATTGTATGTCAAGCAATTAGACAGTGCCTGGCACAGTATGGAATATTTTAAAATTTAATATAAACACCAAAATTTTATCCAGATTAATAATGAAGCTGTTACTAAATAAAAAAACTCTTTTCCAGACAAATACATGAGGAAGACAACAAAACTATCTTCAAGGAAAATAAAAATTAACTTGAAGGAAATGTATCTCCTTTCTAAACTATAACATAAATCAGAGTATAATTCTTTTCCCTAAAACTTCAAAGATGGAATTCATAACTGTATATTTATAATCATCTCCATTCATGCATGAAATTCAAATTTTAAGAAAAGAGAATAAGGCCATCACTGTTAAAAATAATTTTTAAAGTAGGAAAATCCTTCACCCAGGTGTTTCTAAAATACAAATAAAATATAAAGAGAATTGTAAGCTCTTCCATATTAACATTTTTCCAATACAGAAATCTACCCTGGTTTTCATGAGAAACATCTGTCTCTTCAAACACTATGAAAAGTGAAAGCAACACTAAGCAAATTAAAAACAAAGTTATATTTTAGTAATTAAAAAAAAGACTTTTAAAGTCAGTCATGTCTTTTACAGAGGACCCTAAGAACACACTAATCCTTTGTACAAAAATAAACAAAATCATTCCTCTTTAACATTAAAGAACAGTATTTAACAAATACGAACAGATCTAATTAAATCTAAAATTTTACTTATATAAAATCTAAATGAAAAATACCTAGAAAGCGTGAGGCCATTATCATGTCACTCAAATATGATAATACACAAATTTGCAGAAGTCAAAATTCACATCCTGACCTTGTTCAAGTAAGAGAACCAAATATGATTAACATAATATCAGAATGTGTAGTAACACTGCATAATTCCATGTTAACTACCAGATTTTCCAATATTTCTAAGGAAAAAAACCTGAGTTTCCTGACTAAAAAATAATAGAAATCTAAATCAATAAATACTTTTTTGAAACTTACAATTTAGATCTTCCTCAAACTTTCCAAAAGCATAATTTTTACATGATTAAATACAATTTTTTTGCATTTATACTTTCTCCTCAGTAAACACGAACCACTATGTTGTCAAAGATGCGTAAGGAGGTTCTACAAAAATGATTTCCTAAAGAGCAAAAACAAAGCACCAAGCTGAAATTTATCCAAAAATTACTTAGTGAAACACTTAAGGAGAGAGAAAAACGCAGGTTTCAAAGAACAGAGTATAAAGTAATTTAAAAATCCTTATCTATTATCATAATATTAACCTTACTAAGAACCAGAAAAGAAACTAATACACCTTTACTTCCAACAGGAAGTCTAACCTTTCTTTAACTAAGGAAGATTACTCACCGCCCACGTTTTAGTCAACCTGAAAATCGGGGCACTCTGTAAGCCAGAAACTACCGCCATAAGTGCATGAAGGTTATTCAGCTCGTACAGTTTCTGAAGATTTAAGAAAAGGGGGGAAGAGAGATGAAAAATAAATAGCATGAATATAAAAACACTTTAGATTAACAGCAAGTACAATCTAGGCAACCGGTGGTGATCCAGTACTTATTACCCTCTTCCTTGAGATTTGTCTTTAGAGTACCCACTGTGTTTACAGTAAGTTGATTCTGGCACACGACAGAACTTCCACCTTCTAACTTGGCCTTGTCCGCAAGCTCTGGGAATAAATCTACTTCTAGTTGGGTAACAGATTAAGAAATCCAAAATTACAGCTCAGTATCAAGTTTACCTGGTATGATTAGGCACACTAGTTTCTAGTAAGCAGTCTCCTTCCTTATACTGAAATATTATTAAGCCTCTGCCATATGATCCAAGTTTCAAGAGAGGGTCTGTGCCCAGAATCCAGATCTGGTTACCTACTCAGTACTATTATTCCAGGACTAGGGTTCAAACCTGCTTTCCACAGTCCTCCTCAATTTCTTGCTTATTCCTGTCTGAATCCCCAGATCCTCTGTTCTCATTCATGCTGGGACATCTACCTGCTTCCCAATACTAGATCTTGCTTTTTACAGTCTCCTTGCAGAAAACTCCTACCTAACACTAGGTTCCATCAGTTTGCCAAGAAATCTATTTGACATTTATTGCTAATTTCCCAGATTTCTTCATACTACCAGATGCTTACATCCCAACAGTTCTATCTAAAAATCAGTCATTTACAACTGTCCTCACCCACCATCAAGAGACTCCAAGGCAAAAATGCCTGTTTCTAACCTTAGAACTAAGGAAGGGGGAGGGGTTTTGTTTCTCCGAAGAACCCTGACTAATATACCACCTTAATTCAGGTCTCAAAGAATTCCCATGAAGTTTCAAGAAACAGGAACTCAAGTTAAAAAAAAAAAAAGGAAAAAGAAAAAGAATAAGGAAACAAGTATTCCCAAAATGGAGAATAACATCAGGTATTGGCTTCAAATAAAGTGAAGATTAAATATAAAGACATTATCCAGAATGTAACATAAAAGCCAGAGTTTTTTAGAAACGTGAAATAAAGGTTAAGAGACATGAAAGGTAGAACAAAAAAGGCTCACATTTATCTAATTAGAGTTACAGAAAGAGATGATAAAAAATAATAGGGTAGAAATATTTGAGAGATAATGGCAGGTTTTTTCCCCCAGATCACTGAAAGACACTAATTCGCAGGGTCAGGAAGCTCAAGGAATCCCCAGTAGAGTAAATAAAAAAAATAACTCTAAGTCTAGAATAGCATTTTTCAAGAACAAGGGTAACATTAAGATGCTTCCAGACAAAATAAAATAAAGAGAGCTTTAAAAAAGAAGATTTTTTAAAAATGGTGCCAGAATGACTATTCATATGGAAAGATATGAACTAAAATCCATAATTCATACATACTATATATGAAATTTAGTCCAGATCGATTAAATATTCAAGTACTGAAATCAAAGCTATAAAACTTTTAAAGGATACTATAAGAGAACATCTTTGATATTCTCCAAGGTTAGAGTAAGATCACTTAAATAAGATAATAAAAATTAATTAAAGATTAATAAGTTTGACTACTAAAGTTAAGAACATCTATATCAAAAGACAACATGAAGAGTGATGATAAAACAAGTCACAAGTAGGAAGATGTATGCAAAGCATATAGCAGAGAGCTAGCATCTAGAATTACATAAAAAAAAATAACTCCTATAAAAATCAATAAAAGACCAACACCACAATAGAAATTGTTGGAAGATCTTGAACAGATCTTTCAAGAGACAAAACCTAAATGGCCAACATAGAAAAAAATGATCATTCTCATCAGATTCAATGAAAGCTATTGATCTAATGGTCATTTCTTTGAAGGCAATTTGTTCTTTCTCTCTATATTTCTAGGGATTTAAAACTCACATGAGCACCAAGAGACTGACACAAGAATTCTTTTATAGGAGCAATGTAACAGCAAAAATCTGGAAACTACCCAAGCTAGAATATATTGAATATCTGTGGTATATGCAAACAGAATACTCTACAACAGAAATAGACTCAAAACCATTCAAGAACACTGCTCAGTAAAAAAAGGAAGTTATGAAAGTATAAAAGTAATTATAGAATAATTCAATTTAAACAAAACTCAAAAACATACAACAATATATTACTGAGGGACACATACGGTAAAACTGTAAAAGAAAAGCAAACATAAAATTCAGGGCAGCGGTTCCTTTTGTAATGGGAGGGTAGGGGACTGCATATGAAGAGACATATGGTAATTCAAAGTGGGCAGTGGGTACATGAGTATCCACTTTAAAATCATTCTTTTGGGCCGGCCCCGTGACTTAGCGGTTAAGAGCTCGCTCTCCGATGCTGGCGGCCCGGGGTTCAGATCCCGGGTGCGCACTGACGCACTGCTTCTCTGGCCATGCTGAGGCCGCGTCCCACATGCAGCAACTAGAGGGATGTGCGACTATGACATGCAACTATCTACTGGGGCTTTGGGGGAAAAATAAATAAATAAATAAAATTATAAAAAAATAAATAAATAAAATAAAATCATTCTTTTGATACCTTAAATATATTTCATAAATATTCTTTTGTGTCTCTTAGATTAGTTTTATGTGTCAACCTGGCTAGGCTATATGGCACCCAGTTATTTAATCAAACACTAATCTAGGTGTTGCTGTGAAAATATTTTGTAGATGTGGTTAACATCTACAATCAGTTGATTTTAATTAAAAGAGACTACACTCAATAATGTGGTAGGCTGTTTCTCAACAGTGGGAATGCCTTAGGAGTAAAAACTGAGGTTTCCCAGAGAAGAAGAAATTCTGCCTCAAGACTGCAGCCTCAACTCCTGCCTGAGTTTAAGGCCATCCGCCTGCCCTATAGATTTCAGACTTGCCAGCCCCCCACGCCCACCCCAATCACATGAGCCAATTCCTTAAATTTCTTCACATATTTTATATATTCTCTCTCTCTAGAGAACCCTAACTGATACAATTTACTAAAATCAGAGAAAAGACTTGACAGTTTTATAACAAACTGAATACAGAAGGCAGAAAGTCAGAATAGAGGGATTTAAGAGACAGTGATAAGACCAAAAATTATGAAAATTATGAAGTTGGGATGAAAGCAAGCACTGTCAAAAATAACTCCAACTCTGAGAGTCTGAATTGAAATTAAATGATTATTTGATGAGGAGGAGGCTAATGGCAGGTTTGATGGGAAAAATTTGGTGGTTTTTGAGTGGAACATACAAGTAATAAAAAAACTAATGAAGATACCAGAAAACAATAATGCAAATTCAGAATCAATGAGGAAAAGTTATGAATTTCTATTAGCTAAAACACAATATTTATCTACCATATCACAACAAATGTTTTCAAAAATTTTATGACACTTTAAATTTTTAGAAGGCTAGTTCTGCCACCTAGTGCCACAGGAATGTTAGAATATACTTGCTCCCATGTGCTCAAAGAAAATACAGAAGAGTATGACTTATAATAATTACAGTTTTTCAATAATTTACAATTATAAAAATGGTATCCTCATTTTATTCCATCTTTCTCATTCACAGGTGAGATAAGTTACATATTTATTACAAGAATAACGAAGAATGTGGCTACAAGTACACCACTTTTTAGTGAACCTAACATAAATTTGGAGTTGTTACAAGTTTTAGTAAAATCTTGGTATCCTCTTGTGGAATGTCCTGTTCCATCCTCCTCTCTAAATTCTCACTATCCTTGAAATCCACACTCCATTTCTCTTGTTGCACATATTATCTACGTCCCACAATAACCATTCAATCAACATATTTGGTTAACGTCCTCATTTATACTATTCTTTTTTTCTCCACATGGTTGGCAGAGTGATCTATTTCAAAAGCAAATAACTGATATGTGTTCTCTTAATCCCTATAAGGCTTTCTCAATCACCTGCAGAATAGTCCAATATTTTATAAATATTATACTTCACCATAATTTGACCTCTGTCTACTTATCCAGTCAAATAAATCAATAATTCAGCTACTCTAAGAAAGGGAGAAGACATTTAAAAAGGGGGAAGACAGGAGAAATAAAGGAAAAGGCAGAGAAAATAGTCATCAAATTTAAAAAATTGATTTATATTAATCAATAGGCCTTATTTTCCAGTGTCATAAACAGTAAATAAAGTGTCATAGGCAAGCACTCACAAACAGTGCTGAATGGTTGAACCCAAAAATGAAAACACACATTTTTCTTACCTTAGCAGTTTTAATATAGTGGCTCAAAACTTCTGCTCTAATTTTTAATGTTTGAGCATGAAGAATCTCTCTAACAACCCAAAAGCTCACCTGCAAATAAAAATTAAAAATAGTTGAATGACAAAATTCTTTACTCACTAGGATGAAATTTATGACAGGAGCTACTTGATGAACTACCTACAGCTGTTTAAAAAAACATGTTCTCCTTCCCTCGACTCACCACCAGGACATAACAAATCTTCAAATATTGCATACACTTCATATATACATCGATATAGACATATATACATGCATGTACACATACATATGAAAACTTCACTATGATTTTTAATTTGTAAAAGCTAATAAAATTTTGAAGGAAAAGAGCTAAGAGAATGCAATAAAACCAGAGTGATGCAACATGAACAAGTGTTTTTTGCTGTATTTTGCAACACGGGCAGAATTAGATAAGCTCTAAGATCAGACATTGTAAAATATGTTACTTGTAGCACGTTTTTCTGTGGCTGTGTAACCCCACATTGCCATTTATTTACAATGAGCAGAATCATAAGTGTGAAGAATCCCAAGTATGGTTTTCTTTTTGTGTGTGTGTGTGTGTGTGAGGAAGATCAGCCCTGAGCTAAGATCCACGCTAATCCTCCTCTTTTTGCTGAGGAAGACGGGCTCTGAGCTAACATCTATTGCCAATCCTCCTTTTTTTTTCCCCAAAGCCCCAGTAGATAGTTGTATGTCATAGTTGCACATCCTTCTAGTTGCTGTATGTGGGACGCGGCCTCTGCATGGCCAGAGAAGTGGTGCGTCAGTGCGTGCCTGGGATCCGAACCCGGGCCACCAGAAGCAGAGCTCGTGCACTTAACCGCTAAGCCACGGGCCTGGCCCGCAAGTATGGTTTTCTTGGTACGAATAAAATGAAATAAAATATTATAAAGAAAAATATATCTAAGTAATTTTAAAATTAAATTAGGATTGTATTTTTAACAATTATGTAATGCTTTCTAATTTAATGAAACAATCTTCATGATTTCTTCTAAAAAACATTAAAAATCATTCATCAGAAGGCTGACTACATCTATAAGTAAAATGTTCTACTCTGATGAAAATAGCTTGCTTATCATATGATATAATGTAATATCTATGTCACATTTTAATTCATGTACTATGAAAATAAAATCAAAGCACTATCAGTTGGCTCAAACTTCTACAAATCTAAAAACAGGATGTAGTCAGAAATCTCTGTACAAAACACAATGCCACTACCTCATATTTCTTCACCTTTTTTTAGTGAGAACTATTTCAGATTTTACTTGCAACTTTCATCTATAAACAAATTGTCAAACTGTATAGATTTTACAAATGTGTATGAAAATGTAAAATGTATATCTTTTACAAAGCCATTTTCATATTTATTACTATATTTGGGATACTAATGGCAATAATTATCCCTGATTCTAATAAAGTTTACTTCTAAAATATATCAAAAGTTTACTTTAGATATTTTAACAACAACCCTAGCAAATATCAACTACGAGTTCAATCCAAACTGCATGCTCATTGACTTAATTAAATTTAATATCAGACAAATTTTAAGGCAAATGCTACTGTGATTTTAAAACATGGCCAACAATTCTTTGTCATTCCTCTCATTGAATGTTGGGGTGTATGTCACCTTTCATTGAATCTGAACAGGCTCATGACGGCTTCAATGAACAAAGGATTAACGAAAATTGATGCTGACTTCCAGGACAAGGTCATAAAAGGATATGCAGCCCCTGCCTTGATTGCTCAAATATCCCCTCTGGGATCCCTAAGTAAGAAGTCCAACTACCATGAAAGTACCATGCTGGTAAGGATAACTGTAGGTGCACCCCAGTCAACAGTCCCAGCTAAAGCTAACCACACCTGAGAATACTAACCCAGAACGACCAATACCAAGATACAATTTAATAAAATTACTAGACGTAGAAGAAAAAAATTGGGGGCACTTGAGACAAAAACAGAAAGTGATTTTTAAATAAAAGAAAATTTAATTATCAGATGTTTCAATAGCAGCATTCTGTCAGAATAAAATAGAGTAATGTATGAAATATAATCAAGGGAAGAAAGTTTTATACAAAAGACAGACAAACTTGTCAACATGTAAGAACTCAGGAATTATTGTTCCTATGTGTCCTTTCTGAGTAATCTACTGGAGAACAAGCCTCAGACAACCAAAATGACTAGAGAAACATCAACATAAGAATGCTAGTGAGCATTAAATATACACTTATTCATAGAGCTAAGACTAAACGAGGGTTAAAAGAGTTCATTATATGAAGCCTATATGCTCAGACAATATAGAGTACAATCATTAAAAAAAGAGAGAACATCTGTAGAATACGTATCTGTTTACAGTAATATTATTGGTCTTAGTATTGTTATCTTGAGATCGTTGTTTGTTATGAAGGATAAAGCAAATAAGTAAATTACATGATATTGCATCATGTTCTGTGTTCTTTGAAAACCAGGATTCTGGGTGTGGAAGAAAAGACATACAGATATAATACAGAAGAGGTAAAGTAAAACTGTGGCCCTGAATTTGAATTAGACGTATCAATATGAACTCACAAGATACTTTATCTTTAAATAGTCGTGTGTGTACATGTGTGTGAATGATATAGATATCTGAGCTATATCCGCAGAAAAGGCCTAGAAATTACAGTCACTCCAATAGCAATGAGCACCCCTGGCATCCAGGTCCATTTCCCATTATAAGAAACCAAAGCTCATTAAAGCAATGTTGATTCTGGATAGCGGGCAGGTAACGTACAAAATGAACCTGCAACATCTTTGCATATCAGATGGCAAGGAAACTATTTAAGACCACTATGGTCATGACAAAAGACATGAAAGCCAACTTGAAGAGACTTCCACTGGCCAAAGATGGAACAATATGAATTTTAATGAGGATAATAATTGCAATGGGTTGAAACACATTATGTATGTTTAAATTTATGAGTTCATAATGATATTAAAAAATAAACTACTTGGTCACTGTCAGAGGACGACAGAACACCACTTCATTATCTTCAAAACTGCTAAATAAAGGGAAAGAGTCAAACATTTATCCTTCCTTGCCTATAGGAAATGGACCTCTGAGTAAGCAAATACCAGATGAGGGAAAATGTCTCTTTATAAAACTAATTCCAGGGGCCGGCCCCATGGTGTAGTGGTTAAGTGCACGCGCTCCGCTGCTGGCGGCCTGGGTTCAGATCCCGGGTGCACACCGACACACCGCTTGTCAGGCCATGCTGTGGCGGCATCCCACATAAAGTGGAGGAAGATGGGCACGGATGTTAGCTCAGGGCCGGTCTTCCTCAGCAGAAAACAAAAAAGAGGAGGATTGGCATGGATGTTAGCTCAGGGTTGATCTCCCTCACAAAAAATAAATAAATTAATTAATTAAAAAGAAAAAGAAAAAACTAATTCCAACTAATAAATGAAAAAGAATGAAATGAGAATTCACCTTTTAACAACCTCGATTAATTAACGGATCTAGACACAACTGTTAATATCACGAAAAAGACAACCAGATATTATCTGCCGCCTGATGGAAAAAAACAACACAACCCACACTCTTGCCAAAGGCATTGAACCCAACTGAACTTTTGGAACCAGCAGCTAATTTCCAGAAAACAGAACATATTAAACTGCACCGAATGCAATCCAGACTGTGGGAGACTCTACAGATCAAAATGCCTGGGTTTCTCCATAGGTATATGATAAGGAAAAGAAAGGGATGAAGGGAAAAACTGTAAATTAAAAAGTCTTAAACATTTAACAAACTTTAAAAATTGGCAAGGCTAAATTACAGTGTCTTAGGGATCCACACTTAGGTGACAAAACTATAAAAAGAAACACAAGAAAGTGAGTACTGTAATTACTCTTGGAGGAAGAAAGTGTGTGACCAGACGAGGCACATGGAAGGGTTTTTAGGGTGGTTGGTAAAATTTTATTTTTTGACCTAGATGGTGTTACAAGGATATTTGCTTGACAATAATTCATTAAATCATATATTTGTTTTGTGGTTTTTTTATATTCATGTTTTACTCTATAATAAGTAGTTTAAAATGAGTAAGAAAAAAGAGAATAATAAAAATGACCAAGGAGATTTGAAAATGACAGAACTTCTGAAAATGGAAAAAAAAAGTAAAATTAAAATGAGGAAGAGCTAGCATGAAAAGGTCCATGAAGGAGGCGATCTTTGTTTTTCTTGTTTATTAATATATCCCAAACATCGAGAACAGTGCCTAAGACACAGCAGGAGCTTAATAAATATTTATTGAATGAAAATGAAAGCTGAAGTTATTTTATATACCAATTAGATGGCTAAGTTTGATGATACCAAGTATTGATAAGGACATGTAGTAATTTTTAAAAGCTCTTATACTCTGCTGGTAGGAATGCAAATTGGTAATACCATTTTGAAAAAAAAAAGACACTTGTCTTGTATAGTTAAACATGCATCTAATACTCTATGACAAATTTTACAATTTAGTGAGTGTAAGCTGTAATGTTTTTCAACTGCTTTTTTTAGCAGAAAAGATCAAAGTACATATCACCTAATACAAGCAAATGTTATCTCAAAAAACTTTTGTTTCAGCTGTGTATCTATATTGAGCTGCAATGTAAAATATTTGATCTTATTGTGGGTCACAGTCAAAAAAGTCTGAAAGCCACTGCCTAGAGAAACTATTGCACATGGACACCAAAAGACTCTCAGAATATTTATAGCAACATTCTTCATAATAGCAAAATATTGGTAAATATGTTTCATGTCTGTCCTCAAAAGAATGATAAATTCATTCTGATATTCATGGAATGAAATGCTAGACAGCAGTGAAAATCAATGAACTAGAGCTAAATATATCACCATGGACACATCAGAGAAAAACACAAATGAAAAAAGCCAAACACAGAAGATGAAAAACAAGCAAGATTATACAACATGCTGTTTAGGGACACAAACATTTCTGGTAAATCTATAAGGGAATTATGAAAGGAGTTAAAAAAATTTTAAAAACCAACTAAACAAGTAGAAAGAAAAAAACCCCAAATTTTCAGATAATAGTTACCCCTTAAGTGAGGGTAGAGGGAAGAAAATATAAAATGCCTCAAGAGGCATTTTGTTAATATTTTATGTCTTAGCTTAGGTGGTGAATTCACAGTTGTTTATTAGAATGTTTCTTCATACTACATATTAGATTAACGATATGAACTTGCCATTTTTGTAAGCTAAAAGTGGTCGAACATCAGCAATTGCATATGATTCAAACAAATATTTAACACATTCTTTGAAACATATCAAATATTTCATAAAAAATAAATCCTAGAAAACACCGGATATTTTTACTGTAGTTGCTCTATTCACGGTTTTATAATCATATAGAGGTGTTATGAAAACCTTGTATTTGCAGCCAAAAATACTTTAAACTTTAGTTTCTCTACTTTTTATCATGGAAAACTTCAAATGTATACTGAACTAAACAGAAGATAATAATGAAGCTCCCAGTACATCAACCAGTTTCCACAACCAAGTTATGGCCAAGCTTTTTCACCCCCACCCTTACCCCACCCTCAAATGCCCCAGTAATACTGTGAAGCAAATCACAGACACTGTATAATTGCATCTATAAATATTTTCAGAGTAAGAAGTCTTTTTTAATAAACATAACCCAATATCATTATCACTCCTAAAAACATCAATTTCCAATTATCCAAAATTTCTAATTATCAGTCAAATTTTCAATTATCTAAAGATAACATTTAAAAGACACTTAACCCTTCCCACAATAAAAAAAAATCAGGAAGTCACTGGCATGACCACAAGTTATCAGAGAAATATGCAATAGAGTGATTATTAAAATTATGATACAGTCAAGTCACAGATTATATAGATACTAAAAATGTTTTAAACGTGATTTTATGATATAGAAATATTTCATGGTATGTTAAGACAATAAGCCTATAAATTATATGTACAACGTGATTTCTACTAGATTAAGAAAAAGTAAAGAATGGAAGGATATAAGCTGAAATGTTAAGTCACCTCTGGGTGAGTTTTTTCCCCCAGCTTTTTATACATTTCTACATTTTTTCAATTTTCCTGCAATACACGTTATTATTTTGATAATCAATAAAAAGTATAGTTTTTAAAGAGATGAGGGAGCGTTCCATTTCTGATAACATGGAGTAGCTGGTATCTTTAGGAGTGCTTGTCTGATTATAATTACAAATTATAAAAACAACTATTTAAAAGCACAACTCATGTCTATAACTATATTTAAAAGCACTATGGATATAAATAAAGTCATATTAAAAATATGACTATATTTAAAAGCACTATTGATGACTATACAATTGAAAAAATTACCAGACATGCAAAGAAACAGAGAATTTTGACTGAGAGTTAAGAGAAAAAGCTGTAAAAAGAAACAGACCATAAGATAACCCTTTTGCTGGAATTACTGACAACCAAATGCAACGAAGGATCCCAAATGGTATCTTGGAACAACAAAAAGGATATTAGTGGGAAAACTGGAGAAATTTGATTAGGGTCCTTAGTTTAGTTAATGGTATTGTACCAATATTTCATGGATCTAATAACTATACCACATTTATGTAAAATGTTACCACTGGGGGAGGCCACCTATATATGGAAACTCGCTGAACTATCTTGGTATCTTTTCTAAGACTAAATTAAGAAGCAGAGATTGTCAGACTGGATAAAAAAAAAAGGAAGACCCAACTATATGCTATCTACAAGAGATCCATTTAAAAATAAAGATGTAGATATGTTCCCTCTAAAAGACTCTTTCTAACTTCCTTTGTAGTTTGCTACTTCAGATCTCCTATGACCCTACTAGGAGAAAATAATAGAGCAATGGAGTAACTAGGTAATGGAGCTTATATAGGATCAATTATGTTCTGTAATAAGGATAAAGGCTTTTGGTACATTGTGACGTATTTGACTCTGACAATTTTTTGGCTCTCTTAAGAATAATATGAGTGCTTAAAATCTAAAGTCAAATTTGTGAGTATAGTAACGTAATATTTCTGTATGGCAAAGAAAGAACTTTTACTGTGATGATAAATTCTGACCACCTCAGAAAATCTTTGAAAAAAAGTGCTACATAGCTTAAATATAGAATTCAGTACAAGACATGCTTGCTCTATGCCCCTATTAATGGTTTAATCTAATTTTTAAAAACTTGAATCTACTTCCATTTTTGGGAATACAGTGAACCAAATAACCTGAGAAACTATTTGATATAAACCCCTAGAAATGCTGGGTTAAAGATAACAAACTCTTTTTTAAAAAATGTATGGCTAACTCAAAAAATGAAAGATTTCCCTAGTGGCTAAAAACAAAGAAGAAAATAAAGGCAAAGCAGTGATTAAAAGAAAGGTACTGTAGCTGCCCTTGGAGGATTTTCCTCTCAGTGACACAGAGGCTTGGGATTTAACATTCCTTCAAAGACATACTACAAGGCCTCACACATCTACCCTCCCTGCTCTACTTCTATCTAAGGAATCTTCAAAGGGCTACAATCTTGGTGAAAAGGTAGACTAAACCAATTCACCTACTGGCAGAGGGAGACAATACAGAAGAAGGAGAAAAATAAGTCTTTCATGAGAATTTGCAACCCGCCCTTAACTGAATTTGAAGTTTAAATTTTCTCTACAGAGAAGTACAGATGTTCCCCAATGAAAACATATACAAAATAGCCCTAGGTCTGTGATAGCCCTTTGTACTGGCAAAAGTAACAAAAAGCCTCTCAGAAAGGAGATACCCTCAATCTAGGCAGCAGCAAAATTCCCACAGAAAAAGCTTAAACAGACATGAGCTCTCAATCCAAAATTACAAAATGCATAAGAAAACAAACCACTGTGAATAAAGATCAGCAGAAATAACAGGGAATTATTACCTCAAAGACTCTGGAGAATAACAATAAAAAGTTGAAAATGATTTAAGAAATTTAAAAATTAGAAAAAAATGACACTAGTGTAAAAGCATACAGATTTGAAACAGCTATGAGACATCTGAAGAGAATTAGTGAACTGAAATACAGATCTGAGGAAATTACGTAGAATGGAGCACAAAGGGAATAGATATAAAAGTACGAAAGGTTAAGATACAAGCAGGAAAGAATGCTAAGTTTCAAAGGAAAATAGAAATCATGCAGAGAGACAATATTTGAAGAGATATTGGCTGAAAATATTCCAGAATTGACGTAAAAAGTTAAACTACTTCTTAATGGAAAATCATATATTGTGGAATTGAATTTCAGAAACTACCAAAATTTTATAAGCAACTCACATGATTAAATCTTCTTGTGAAGGCAACTGCATTTGGTGCAGAGCTATATTTTTCTTTTTTATTCCATCCACAACTTGAAAGCTCCTGAAAAATTAAGTTGAAAATTAAATACAAATTCATGGAATAGCCCAGTTTTCTTATTATATTAAGGGTTTCAAAACATGAAAGACAGTTGTGTCCCTTCCTAGAACTGTTTTATTTCATAGGAACATATCTAATATTATAACCATTCAGATAAATCACAAAAGCAAATTTTATTAGTAGAACATAAGAGGGCAAAACTAACTGTCTATAAGAACATAGATAACTAGACTTATTCTCCATAGGCAGACTGGTAGATTCTCCTCTGAAGAGATTTGAATCCCAAGAGGCAAGATCTACAGATAATGAAAGTTGAGCATACCACAATATATACTGAAGCCTACTAGTTAGCAGTCAAGCCCCAATCACTCACTCAGAGCTTCCAATCAGCTTTCCAGTACCTCACTCTTTGAAATGACAGCCAATGACCCCAGATATTTGAAGAAACTTCTAAAAAAGGGGTTCCTGACTCCCCACAGTATCTGTCAACAGAATTCAAAGAGCTCAAGGACTTACACAAAAAAAATTAAAATTTTATTTTACACTAACTTCTAACTGAAATGACATTCTTTTTAATTATAAATGTAGGCTACAGATTACAGAAAAATTGGCAATACATGTGACTTCGTCACTAATAAAAATCACAGATATTTTCATATCACATTACCACTCATACAGATATCTCAAAAATGTCATTTACGCTCATCATTACTTTGAAATTATGATCTCCTCACCTCTAGATCTCACTTAATATGTTAATAAAGCACATATATTGCTATATTACACTTTAAAAAATATTTTGATAAGTGTATTTTAATAGAACTGATTTCCTTTGATTTTAAAGAAGGGCTCAGTTCCATGGGCTTCAGTCTGCCAAAGGGGTCCAAGGTTCAAAATAGGTTAAGAACCCTGCTGTAATACAACCACCACCACCAGAAAGAGACAGAATCTATAGGAAAAAAGAAAAAGAACTCTAACAAAACTGCGTTAGGACAGAGAACAAAAGAAAACTGAGAAAAGAAGAAAACGAAAACATATAATCATTACTCTCAGACAGATGAGAATAGATATTGCTCCCATTAGGCAAAAACAGGAGGATATAAAAAAGAAATATTCAGAGAACAAAACAGCTTTTGGAAATGAAAAATATAATAAGAGAAATTTAAAAAATCAACAGAAGAGGGGCTGGCCTGGTGGCGCAAGCGGTTGGGTGCACGCACTCTGCTGCAGTGGCCCGGGGTTCGCCGGTTCGGATCCTGGGCGCGCACCGATGCACCCCTTGTCAAGCCAAGCTGTGGCGGCGTCCCATATAAAGTGGAGGAAGATGGGCATGGATGTTGGCCCAGGGCCAGTCTTCCTCAGCAAAAAGAGGAGGATTGGCAAATGTTAGCTCAGGGCCGATCTTCCTCACACACACACACAAAAAATCAACATAAGAGTTGTAAGATAAAGGCGATAAAAATCTTTTAAACAATAAGCTAAAAACAGGAGCAAAAATATGTTAATTAGAAATGTCCATAAGAGGCAAAATCTGAATAATAAGAATTTTAAGAGAGAACAGAGAAAATGGAGAAAAGTAACTTACCAAAAAAAATAATTTAAGAAAGTGTCCTCAGAACTTAAAGGCAAGAAAAGACCTAAATAGTGCCCATTACAATGGATTAAAAAAAAAAAAAGACTCAAACCAAGGCCTAGCATCAAAAAATTGCAGCACATGGGACACAATGAGATCAGAAAATCTGTCAGATTCAAAAACAGAACAAACAAAAATAGATCACATACAGGAAAACGGGAATCAGAAGGTATTGTATATCTCAATAGCAGCACTGGAAGTTAAAAGACAACTGAAAACAATGCCTTCAAAATCCTAGAATCTATATCCACAAAAATATCAATTAAGTATGAAAGTATACTACAGACGTTTTCAGACACAAAAGTCTCAGAGTATTTGCATTCTTTGCTCCTATTCTTGGAGAGCTAGTAGAATATGTGTTCCATCACAACCAGCAAATTAAGAAAAAGGAGGACACAGGATCCAGGAAACTGAGGAACCAACACAGAAAGAAAATATTGGGTATTCCCAGATTAACAGTAAAGGGAGATCCTGGGACAAATCTGTGAGTAGACCTTAAGAACAACAGTCCAGATAGTAAGTTGCAAGACGACAGAGATTCCAAGAGAGATGTCTCTGAAAGATAATTAACAGAATATCTGAAGTATTTGAACACATTGAGAAGACACACTGGCTACATCCACTTCTGGCAGAAAAATTAGTGACAAGCAGAGAGAAAGCTAACGTAAGTTATCAGCTCAAGGAAAACAATATAAGTAAGTTACTTATTCATGTCAAAATTGTGACATAACTACATGGGAAAAAGAGGAAGAAGTGAAGTGTGTAAACGTGAGGGGAAGAGAATATAAGAGAGTGAAATCATCTTCTATAGCAGAGTTAGTAAATCATATCCAAAACTGAAAAATCAGAAACAATAGGCATTTAGATATATTATTTGAAAAATGGACATAAATTCCTCCAAGGAAGAACAGCTAAGAGACTCGGATGGGTGTGGCGCTCAACGGTGGATGGAGGCTGGAAGGGTAGGAGCAACCAGGCTAGGGAACTGTTATATTTTGTTCTCTCATGGAAATATTTGACTTCTTAAATGTGATATATGCATATCTTCAATACAATTTTAAAATAAAATAGAAACAAACAAAAAAGAATGGATTGAGTCAGGTGAAGATTTAGGAAACAGTTATGATATTACAATACTCCAAGAAAAAGATAACGTTCCCTTGACTAGGGTGGTGTTAGTGGATAGTGAAAGAAGTGTTAGATTTAAGATATTTTGGAGGCAGGCAGGACTTGGTCAATAATTGTATTCACATAGTGTAAGCTAAGAATGGGGTATCCAGAAGTATTAAGATTCCCAAGTTTCTGGTTTGAGTAACTGAGATGGAGAATACTGACGGAAGAGATGACAATTATTGCTTCAACACAGTAAATAAGCAGTAAATGCTCTGAGGATATGAATTACTAACTTTTTTTTAAACCTAAAAATTTAAACTTAAAACCTTAAAATTTTTTTAAACCTAAAATTACAACTTTCAAATTCAAAATTACTGAAGGAAAAAATAAAATGACAGAAGTAACTCTACAGTAAAAAAAAACTGCGTACTCAGCTTAGATATATGCTCATTTAACATTATTCCTCTGTATAGACAGAAAATAGTAGTAGATATGATATTAACACAAAAATGACATATGATAACCATATTAAAAACATCAAACTGTTAGAAAACATTTTTGTTCTTTCTAAAAATCACAGCGTATTTATACAACTACATAAAGATGCCATACTTTAGGGCCGGCCCCGTGGCTTAGCGGTTAAGTGCGTGCGCTCCGCTGCTGGCGGCCCGGGTTCGGATCCCGGGCGCGCACCGACGCATCGCTTCTCCAGCCATGCTGAGGCCATGTCCCACATACAGCAACTAGAAAGATGTGCAGTTATGACATACAACTATCTATTGGGGCTTTGGGGAAAAAGAAATAAATAAATAAAATTATAAAAAAAAAAAAAAAAGATGCCATACTTTAGGACAAAATTCCTAGGATTAAATCCATAAATACCGAACTTGTTTTTAACCAATTAATATAATTTCCAAATTTATATTAATGCTATGATCAAAGTGCGTCTATCAAATTGCTGTTAAACTTAACAAACCACTCAATGTAGCCATTTGACGTAGAGTTCAAACTCAATTATAGACCTTTACACATAAAGCAGATTTCATTTTCCTGTTATAAGTAAGGCTACACTATAAATAATAAATATCCTTGCACCTTTTCTGACATTTATGATCCTTTCCTAAAAACATAGGCCTAGAAGTGAAATCACTAGGTTCAAGAGTATGAACTTTTCCAAGGGTTTGATACCTGTCAAATTGCCCTCCTGAAATACTAGAATCATTTATACTACCACTACCGAGTGTGAGTTTCACAACAGTCTTATGAAAACTGGGTATATTTAATTCCCTTTCTATATATTATTACTTTAATTTTCCCAACTGTAAGAGTAATTATATTTGTTAAATAGAGAGAAAATGGGGGTTGGGGGGCTGTGAATCATCTATAAATCCACCACCCAATATAAACATATATCTTCCCAATCTTCTTTGTGTGCATATAGGGGCCTGGTTTTTGTTTGTTTAAAGTAGCTAACACACCTGTCCTTTTCTGTGTGATTTAATCTACTGATTTTGTGCTTAAAAAGTCCTTCCTTCTCATCCTGAGAACAGATGTCTTAGCAGTAATAAAAATAATAGTTAACATTAATATAGAGATCATTATGTGCCAGGCACTTTCTAAGTGCTTTAAACACAACTCATTTGATTCCATCTTCATCATTATAATTTATTAAGATAAATAAGGAACCCAGACAAAAGTACCAGAGAATTATGGCTTTATTTTTTACATTAAAATTTTTTTAATGCTTTTCTGACTCCTCAAATAAGAAATGCTAACAGGTTTTGAAAAATCCATCCAATTCTTGGAAGATTTCAACATCATTAATTTAACAGAGAAATGCTTTGCCCCTTTAGGAAAACTCTGTTGAAAGCAGACTGAAAGGAGGGGAGAATGAATGAATCTGTAATCACATTACTTGGGAATAAATGGATTAAAATTCCATTGGAGCCCTCCATTCTAAAAAAATTTATAATTAGAAAACGTGAAGAAACAAGCAGGTTTTTAAAAATCTTTTAAAATGGTAGTTTCTGCTTCAGAAAACATTTCCCATTTGAGACAATGTTACATTACTAGCCCATCTAATACAAAGACAAACAGAACTATAAAGATGGAGAAGAGATCAGTAGTTGCAAGGAGTCAGGGATGGCGGGGAGTAGCGGCAGGAGTGGGATGGGTGTGACTGAGAAGGGGAAGCACAAGGGAGACATCTTTGTGGAGATGGAGTAGTTCTGTATCTTGACTGAGGTGATGGTTAGAC